GGCTTTGAGTGAAAGTCTCTTCTGAAATACACGGGAGTGATCATTTCCCTTTTTAGTATGGAAAAGCCAAGCAAGGTGACAAAACTACTTTACTGTCTCATTTCCTGCTAGGGACCAGCGCTTTTTTCTCCTGTTTCCTTCTAGGTTTCAGTTAATTAGAATGACACCGCCACAACTCAGTGGTGTATGTGGAAGAGAACGCACGCGTCATCAGCGGCCAGGGAGGCTGTTGTGCCGTCTTCGCACGTGACTTGTGTGACCTTGGCAGACAAAGCAAAGGTGAGTTAGACCTGGCGAGTGACTTAGATGCGGGGCGAGTAGTTTTATCAATGTTTCAAAGGCTAAGAAAGGAAAATATCTTCTACCCACATGTGTACACACGTACAGGAAGATTCAGAGGAACGGGAACAGGAATAGGAGGCCATGCCCGTAGAAGGCTCTAATCTGAGGACACACTGAGCAGTCCGCGGGCGGTCAGGGGAGGGTACTCCTCTTCCAAATGAGAAAGGAAACCAGTTTATTTTATGAGTAACTCTTAAATGTTCAAGCAGGCAATTAAACTGCTTTACTGAGGCCATTTTGGGATACCCAACACTTTGAAGATTATCTATCCCCTCATATTTCATGTTCAGTGTTCCTCTAAGTAAAATATGTGGCTCCCTTTAGTTACTCAGCCACGAATTGTACTTCAAAGGCAAGGGGACATTTTTGATAATGCACATCTTAAACTTTTCATTAAACTACCAAATTTAAATTCTACCTTTTTGTGCACTCTGACATTTTTGTCTGGCATTTTCATTAATTTTGCGACATACATAAATGTAGCTGAAATGTTAACTGATCAATACTTTGTCTCTCTCATGTAGCACTAGAGCGAAGCTCCCCAAGGACCACGCAGCAGTACAGAAATTAAATGTGTAAAATATCAAATGTTAATGTTAAACACAGCAGCACTTACTGTATAACAACTGAAAAGGCTAAAAGAATTCCAAATGGACAGATGGTAGCACAAATTATCTACAATCACATTTAAAGATTAAAGTTTGTCCCGTAAAATAATTCATTGACTCACATTGAAGTGTGTCCTTTTACTGATAGCTCAGTTGTCCAATTATTTTTGTGCTCATTACAGTGAGAAATGACAGTACTGGAAAAAAAGAGTGTACACTTTTTTTCCCCCTGCGTTGCACCCACTGACATCTGCAAGAACACAAATGTCTGGTCAAGAAGCTGATGGAAATTAGGCCCAATTTAGTAGACACTTCAGTGCCCACATTAGATTAATCTAATGAAAAACCATCCACTTTTACATACTCTAATAAAGTTCTTCTCCCTGAACCATAGCATATTAGTTACTGAATTTAAAAACATATAAAAATTAACAGCTAAATAATCCAAAGGTCTGCTTTAAACACAGAACATCACGCGAATTTACAGCAAAAGCTCTCTCTCTACATATTCTGTCCATTTCCATTGCATGTAGGTGCTTAAGAATCATAAACACAAACACATAACACATTTTTGATCTGCCTCTAGACATTATAGGGATACACACGATATAATAAAGCTGTTCTGGAACCGAAACATTATTTAACATTGTTGCTATGCACTTCCTTTATTTAACAGGAAATAAATACGAAAAAGGAGCAGAAGATATCAGATCCTCTGCCAGCTCAAATCCAAAGTCATATTCTAGCCAGACCAACCTATGTTTCATGAGCTATTTACCAATTCCTTTGAGTATCTGAAAAATAACGGCTAATAATATGTCATGGTTATATTAGCATGAAAATATAAAAAATTATGACTGGGTAACAATTATGCTTCAGCTGTGAATTAGTGGGGCACAGAAAAAAAAAATGGAGTCAAAACCTTAAGTCATTCAGGCAAAACCCTCAGTGAAGGCGATGAGCGTAGATTTCAACAGAAATGGGTAAAATACTGTTCCGTTGAGGAAATGCATTATCTAGAACACTGAAAACTGAACTTCAAGGTTTCTGTACCTCTAGGTACAGCATGGGCAACACCAGTCATGGAGCTGGTGCCTTTGGGCAGATTTGAGAAAGAACCATCCTAAGCCTTCAGTAGAGGATTTCCTTTCCTAAAAAGTCCCAAATCATGTAAGGGTTTGAGACCGCTAAGTTCTGGAGTATAAATAATCAGCACGCCCCTTGAACGAACACTTTCCACCTCAACAGCCAACATCTCCAAGGAGAATGGCTTTAAAAAGAGCTGCAGGGAACACGTCAGTGTGCAAAGAGCACAAAGCAGGTAACTGTAGCTTGTTATAGGGTCACCATATTCACCAAGGCTTTCTGTGGGCTTCCACGAGTAATCTTCCTTTCCAGATCTCTCCTTTATTACAACTGACTTCACTACATTTCTCAAAACCGAGTTTCTTTACCTTGTTGTCCTCCCTAACAGTGGCCCCATCAGAAAGCAAAGACATGGGGAGAGGTACCAGAAAAGGGCACCGGCAATTGCAACGCCAGAACCGGGGGCAATGGGAGACCTGAAAAATCAACCCCCACATATGTGAAATGGCCATAAATCTGTTATCGGGACGTTATCTGTCACGGTACCTCTTGAAATCCAACAGGACAGAAGAAATGGTTAGTTTAGAAGTTTGCTTCTTGTACATTATTTATTAGTCTGCCTACAGAGCTGGAAACCTCCAGAACAGCCTATTTCTCATTTCCTTTCTGGCACTGACATTTCACCGTGACATTCTCCAACCTCTGGGAGACAACTTCAAGGGGAGATACGATTTGTGTAATAGTGAAGAGATGAAAATGATACCTCGAAGTACAGTTTTTTTCTACAGAATCCATTAAATTCCAGTGTAACCTCAGTGCAAGCACAACTCAGCATTAGATGTGCAAGTGGAGCACTCTCAAGACGTTTCAAGGGCCTATGATAGCTATGGAACTCCAGAAACCATCTAAATCCAACAATTACGATCACGATAGAAGTTCACATAGATTTGGCTTCGCTAACAAAAACTTATCAGTGTTTTGCCCAGCAGAGGGATGGTTTGATGCTTAGGCAGAACACAATCAGGTTGAAAAGCACAGGGTGGACTTTGGATGCAGAACACGAACACATCTGTGAGGTCACAGCACTGATGCAGATGTAATGTGTCCATAATGACCACAACCATCACACAGCAAAACAAATACTAAAAGAAAACTAAGAAAAGCAGGCTTGTGAGAGAGAAATATATACATATTTATAGAGATGTATATAAAAATAAAATCAGGAACAGGTTTCTACTGCAATACACTATAACTATAATGATGTTTACTCACTACAGACCTCCTTGCTCAAATTCTGTGTTTTATGTATTTCCAACTACTTATTACAATAGCTAATTTCTTCTATGATCGGAAGCAATTACAATTTCAGAGCAACACAACTTCTTCCACGGCCACAGCAGCGCACCATGAGAAAGAAATAAGTTCATTTGCCCCAAATAATAGGAAGTCTTTCCATTTCCCTTCTTCCACCAATGACAGGTGGGTGTTTCACACCCATACTAAAGTCAGACTTGGACAGATGAGTATTTACTAACTGGAGCAGTAATAGGAACACGAACGTTTGAGTTTTATGTAGAAACACATATTTTGCTATGAAATTTTGATTATTTAAAGCTGAAATAATAACAGATTACCTTTCTAAATTAAACAGTAGCAAGCATATTTAGATTTTTGCACATAATGTAGTTACTACAGGTGTTGGTGGAAGTGTAAAAGCCCTGAGATTTTGAACACCACATGTATCTCCTGTACTCTTGATGAACATTGCAACCAAGGGCCGACAGCTTGCTGCCAGCCTTTGACAGGCTACAGGGGGGTTTAACGAGTCACTTAGTACAAATTGAGCTCTGCTAGAAAAAACTTCCTGCAAAACAGCATTATTTAGTGACGCACCAAAAAGCACTCCATTTTACGGGTCCAGTGCAGCCAGCTCCAGTGCCTGGTTTGGTGTCTCCAAACTGGAGGCACCTCAGCCTTAGGCACCCAAGCTAGGAGTACTGTCTGCAGACTCCCTCTGTAATTATGTATAGAAAGACTGAACACATTCCCTGTTCATTGTCATGGCAGAGAGGCTCATAACTTCAGTATTTCAGCCAACCCAGTAAGTTTAGATGTTCCAGAACGTGTGTCCATGCATACACTTTTACTCCTGGTGGGACTCCTTCAGGCAAAAACCAAGCAGGGACTCTAGTCTTGTTTGTAGTTCATACAATTTTGAAAATAAAAGATACTCATCTGGTAAAGGCAATCTAATCTACAATTATGCTTGGGATTTTCAAAATTTAACAGGAAAATAAAAGTTAATATTAATGAAGCTAATGTTTATGGAGAAATAGCAGTTCCATTTAAATCACTAAAAATGAATTCACTGAAAATTGATCTATGACCAGAGCCTGACGTCTAAAAGGTTTGTTTGCATTAATGATTTTAAAGTTGGTTTTGCTTTGGTTTGGTTTGGGTTTTTTTAACCAAGAACACTAAATCTTAGCAAGGAAGCAACTCTTTTGGGTCCAGAGCTTCGTAGTTCTAAAAAAGTATATTGATGTTGAGGATAAAGTAACACTAATTTTATATTCATGATATATAAAAGCATTCATGAAATATTCAGAACAAGTTTTAGATTAAATATACAAGGGGGCCAAATAAAATTTAACAGATGTATGACAAGCTCAAAGTAGATCCATAGTTCACTGACCGTATTTTGGGTTGCATCACTTGCTTACGTTATTTGTAAAAAATTAAAAAAACCCCTTTCTGTCTTGTTTGTGTGACATTCTAAACTTCATTACTTTTCTTTTTTAAGAAGTGAATAAACATGACTTGTGTCATCTTTATAATGCAAAGCTTTAGATAAAAAAAATTCAGACACACACACACAAACACACACACCCCCTGCTGTGTTACTTCTCAGTCTAGAACACAAATACACCAGGGTGATTAACAATAATGTAAAAAAGATCGTACCAAAAAAGCAGCGAGACTTCTTGGGGGAGAATCCCAGTCAAAGCAACTGCTGATGTAGTAGGCGGCATTTATGAGCACCATGACACAACGCTTCATCCGGATAAAGTTTCTTAACAGGAGCTGTTAAAAAGATTAAAGAATGAAAATGTTTCAAAACCCCAAAAGCTTCGGAAGAGGCTCATGCTTACAATATTGTTGTTCTTAATTTCATTGAAGACTGAGAAAATAACACGTTAAGCTCTCGAGCTCACAAATTGAGAAAGAGAGACTTGGAAGAGAGAGAATTTGTTGTGTCAGTAGATATTTGTTGAATTTAATTCTAAATGGGACACAAATTGTTCAATTTTAAAAGGCCACCCGCAAAATTTCACAAATGATTTTGTTACCAAGATCCCAGAGTTTTATTAAGTGGTCAAGACTTCCCCCATTCTCAAGTACTTCACAAATTTTGGCCCTTCTTCATAAAAAGATGCTGCAGGACACTAACCTGAAACCATGAAAAATTACTGCTCTAACCTAATTAAAATTATCTGCACCCTTTGCATCCAATTTTTCCTTCATTTATAACAAATTTGTCTGCTGTGATGTATGCTGACTGCATGTTTTTAAGTATATACCACAGTTACTTTAACTGCATCCATTCAATCTATATAAAGACAAGACATAACAGCGCCGGGTTTTGATTGAGGAGAAGCCTTAAATGCTCTAAAATGACAATAAACTTGACCAAAAAAAACCAAGTGGACAAAGCAGTGAATGAGTTAATGTGTGTATTGACTAGCATAGAAAATGCTAGCGAGGTAAGACATATTCAGTCTTGCAAAATGGGAATGTTTTAAAATGCGACCACATCAGTCATAAAGGCACCTTTTTTTCCCCCGCCCTACGTGGCATGGTGGTGGGGGTGTCCCATGCAAGTGAATTAAAAAAAAAAAAACAACAAACCAGCAACAACCCAAAGTGAGTATTTAAAATTTACTACTCCTGCCATCTGCAAAAAGCACAATGCCATTTTCTGTCATGGAAGTGCGGAGAAGAAAGCATCTTGAATAAAAGGCCTTGGTGCTGCTTTGCTGGAACAGCAATGCAAAACGCAGCCTTAGTAACTGCATTACTCACAGCAGTAGAGAAAGAAATATTTTGCCTCTTGAAATTTTTTTTTCATTAAATACATCATACAACTGATGTAAAATTCACCCAGCAGATAACTTAAATTACGCTCAAGTCTATAAGTTTTCAGCAAAATAAAAAACAGTTTTGAGACCTTTGCCTTTTCACTGCAAACCAAAAATGCCTCATTCCCACAGTCCCACCGAAAGGCCACGTCTCTCCATATGAAACAGATCATTTGTGGAACACGAAAAACTGAATCAAAAGCAGTTCAAGTGGAGAAAAAGAGAAGATGTGTGTTTAAATACTTTTTACCAAAACATTAAAACTGTGAGTGGCAAGAATATCCAGGAAAAAAAAAAGAAAAAGCGTCCAGACATTTCGTACCCAGAGGACTGTCAGAAGGAATACAGAGCTTTAGTCTGCTTTCACCTTTGATTCACGTCTCACCCAACTAACTTATTTAAAATTTGGCTAGAAGAATGCTGAAACACTCTCTACCCTGCAACGAATGGAGATCTTTTGGGTCAAGGTTAACAGCAAAAATTTATGCAAGACTTAGCTTACATGCACCTGCGCTATAATCTGATATGTGTGGAACCTGATGTTTTCAACTCTGTCCTTATTCACGTATTTCATGGAAATTAAGCTGCAATTTATAGAGCAGACACAGTAAACCCATGTATTTTGTTTCTGCCTTTTCCGACCTACCCTATTCTTTTGTAAACAGGTAATGAAAATGTTATTCTTTACTCTCGGCAGTATGATACCAGATATTTGGATGTGCACACTCGATATTAAGGCTTTCGGAAAGGATTAGTGTTTCCTTACTCTTTACCTGTTTAGACAGTCTGTTTTCCTCTTCAATGTACTTCTGTTCTTTGGGCATTAAGGTTCGTATGCTGGCTTTCACCTACGCATTAAAATGTATGTCAGTATTTCAAGCTTACTTGCTCCTTACTAATAACACATGCTCCAATTTGCAAAAATTACGAAGTTTCAAAGTCATGGCTGCCAAGCCCACGGACACGTAACCGTACACAGAGGCGTGAGTTGCGGCTCCGTGCATTAGCAGCAATAGCAGCGGCAGCAGCAACAAAAAGAGTGGGTGTGCCAGGCAGTGGCAGAAGAGTATTCTGTAGTATACATCAAGGTTTAGAGAAAATGAGGAATGACAGAAATTCTCTACAAATCAGGAACAAAAGCTTTCATGAAACTGAACTCTTTAGCAGTACAAAAAAGCCAAAGTTAAGACTTACAGCATTAAAAATCACATCTATTTCAAGATAGATGACCCCCTTTGTTGGCCCTGTCAGCTGCTTGTTTTTCAAGACGTAGGCTTTCTGTTCACCATTTTGAATCTGCAGGAAAAGGACATGACAGCCGTCTGTCTCGCGGTCTCCGCTGAATACACCCCCCCGGTGACCCCTGACCCCCAGCTGCTGAAACTGACAGAGAACCCAAAACAACTGTGGCAAGTCTGACAAGTACCTGTTCATTACCAGGACCGAGTCTGTCAGGAAAAATTAACTATCATGGGATTCAACATGGCCGTGAATTGAGTATGTTAAAATTTTAGTGTTCTTATTACAGACCTTGGTTGAGAAATGACAGACACAGAGCTGCAAATTTTTTTTTTTCTTTTCTTTTTTTTTTTCTTTTACTGCGGTCGCGGTCTTCGTCATAAACTGTCACTTCAAGCACCGAGTGGATGTCTTTAATATTGCTACAAAGGGAGAAGCACACACAGAAGAGGGAAGGAGTCACCTACACCAGCGGGCACCAAGGACAAAACCAGGAGAGCTTAGCCAAGCCAGATACCCCTCTGTTTTCCGAAGGCATGGCAGGGAACAGAACTTTAGTAAAGGAGGCATCCCTCCCTATAACCGAAACGCGCTCCCGGGGCTGCAGCCGCCGCTCGCTCCCCCGCCAAGCTTTCCCAGCAGAAGTTTTCCGACGGATGTTGCTTTAAATCCCCTACCTGGCGCTGGCGCTGCGTGAGCTGCAAGGAGAGCCAGCGCGGAGCAGCGCCGGGGGATTTACAGCCGCAAGCAGCAGGACCGAGCGCCTTTAAAGACTACCCCTTACAGACCGCTGCCCGTGCAGCAGCTCTTACCGCCACTGCTGCGAAATCCGCAGGTCTGCAAGCGAAAATAATTACGAGCTGCACGAGCACATCCTTGCACTGAGAACAAGCCCTTTAATTCCCAAATCCTTGCTTAATTACAAGCACACAACAGTCATTACAACAAATTAGGAGCAAGCCGCACAAAACGATGCTTTTTTCAACTGCTAGTGCTTTTTGCCTGCGAGCTATTGAACACTCCGCCACCGCGCACAGCGAATGTCACTGGATGTTGTAAACTCTCAAGTGAAAAATTCACGTTCCTGATTCAGAGAAAAAAACAGAATTGTTTGAGAGAACCCATCTTTGATGCAGGAAATAGGAATTCAAGGAAAGCAGTTTAACTCCAGTAAAACACACACCTCTAGGTGAAACTGGATTGCCAGCCCCAAATTAACAAATCTGAGGACAGATAAAATAGTCAATGCAAACATACACAGAAGAGAGGCGAAAACTCTCCTCAAAGGCCTTTTGAGTTTTCTATTTGATTCCTGATTAGTCTTTTGTCCTCTACAAAACCAGGCAATTTCTTATGCAGAGAACACTGCAGAGCAGTAGGGGTTGATTAGTTATTGGCTCTATTAGTAGATAATTAAAAATAAATTAATGAAGAATTTAGCATCGTTTTGCAGATACATAAATGAGAACGACATTAAATAAACTAATGAGAAGTACAATTGTTGTGAGGTTTCTTTCCTTTTGTTCCGAGTTCATTCTTGAGAGCTCACTGCAGGGCAAGCTACGGGTGCCAAATACATGAATGACACATTTGGGGGGGGGGGGGTGGGGGGGGGAAATATATAAAACCAGGCTGTGTTTTGAGATCAAGGGCAAAACATAGTATTTTCATCTAGGATAAAGTGAAGTAAGTGCACACAAAGCTAAAGTGTCTACTGGTGTTGCAGTGGCTTGTTAGCTGGTGTCCGCGGCAGAGAAGCCTGCAACCCATCAGTTCCCTGCTCGTTGGTGCCACGCTGCAGTCGGGTGGAGAGAAGCGCGGAGGAAAAGACGGCAACTGAGCAAGACAAACAACAGGAACATTTTGTTTGTGGAAGACTTTTTTTTTTTTCTATTTTGTCCGAGCCTTTTTCTGTCTTCAGAATAACAGAAGGATAAAAAAAACCCCAGCCCAACCACATCACTCCCCAATAAACTGAATATTGGAGACTTTATTTCACCCAGTGGCAGCATTGTACCGGTATGATCCTAGATTGTGTTGTGCGAAGTGCAGCTGGTAGATAGAAAGAACAAGTGGAAAGCATCTGATCATAATGCAAAGAATTATAAATGCATTCAAAATTCCTTCCTTTATATAGTATCTCATGGTTATTGAAGTTAACAACCACATTCTAAGGAAGGTCATAATCACAATATCCTTTTTTCCACCCAAAAATTCCATCCAGTGTGGGGGATTTGGCCCTTGAAATTTGTACCGAAGCTAGGAGGACTCTGGAGTGCTTACCTGGTTTTCAAGAAACACACCTTGCTTTTTTACCTCTAAAATGGTTCTTCTTCTCTAACTTTTTTCATGTTTTTAATCCTCAAACAGTATTCAGCTGCTTGCTTTAGCAAGTACCAGTATGTCACCGCTATCTTTCTTCAGAATCAGCAGTAGGTATCTTTGATTCACACACATCCATTCCCTTCAGCCCCCCCAACCCTCCCAAGCCCTTCCCCCCCCCCCAATACTCACAAACCCCAAACACCTACAAAGTGAAGATTTTGTTCCATTCTGGGTTGAGGTTCTTGTAGACGGTATGTGTCAGCAGTCTGTCATTGTTCAATTCAACTACACAAAATGGGTCGCTTTTACCTATAAGAGAATATTTGGAACAAAATTTATGAACTAAGAAAAAACACTATGAGCAAGATTTAAATAAAAATTAGTTTTGGTTTTGGTTTTGGTTTTTTTTTTTTCTTTTCCTAAGCTGCACTGTAATTCTCTCAGGAATTAATTCAGGGAAGTCCTACGGTCTGTATTATATTCAAGATGATCATAACAGGCTGTTCATCTCCGTAATCTATTAACATTCTTCACTAAAAGAACATCTTTTTTGTCTTTTTTAAAAAAAAAGAAAAGAAAAGGAAAAAAAAAATCACCATACAGATTTTTCTGATGAAAAACCAGCATGTTCTTAAAAGGTGCCAAGCACCCTTCTGAGACAGCGAAGAGAACTTTACTTTAATGGTGCCAATCCTACACTGACTGTAATGATAACATAATTAGAGCATTTTGAGATGTAGGAAATGTATCATTCTATATTATTTGTAATAACACAGCACCTATGATACTTATCCAAAGATTACTATGCCCTACATGTTTCACGCTGTACAAATCCTCTCCCCAAACTCAAAAAGCCTTAAAGACAGCCTCAGATAAAAGCCTAACACCAGAGAAAATGGGCAAGTACAATTAAACAATGAGACGATATCAGCTGGAATGATGGGCTGTAGTCTCAGCACAGCAGAAGCTCAAACGTGGTTGAGATTTTTGTATACATTAAAGCACAATGAAGTAGCTTTGCATATATTTACAAGAAGGTCCCTCAGCATGAAAGCCACCACAGGAGAAAGTATGAAGATGCTGCTTTGAAAGTGTAACATGCAGATAATGGGAGCGGTATCTTCGACTGGCTCTGGAAGTTGATCTTTTTTTTTTTTTTAAGCTAAAGAAAAATAATGGGGAAAGTAAGAATGTGTGCCTGGGTGCCCCGAATGTCATATTTCAGAATATTATATTATTATTATTATATATTATTATATATTCACAGAAGCTGATAGCCAGTGACTGCAGGTGAGTGGGGCTTAGACACCAAGCAAAGAGCAAGAAAACACATCCCGACTGAAAGTTTAGGGGGAAGGCTAACTTACACTAAGCTTTTTCTTGGATATCCATGAGGCCAAGCTTTGTATTTGGAAAGGAGAAGAAGGAAAGCAGGTACCCGAATGTTGTGCTTAACAGCAGTCTGCTTGTGCAAAAAGAGGAGCTCTCGGACGGGGGAGGAAGCACAAGAAGGGGAGATTGCTATCTCCAGGGTTTTGGGGCAACCCTGAAATTTCCTGGAAGGATAAGAAGGTGTTGCGAGGAAGATGTGAGGAACAGCTGTGATGGAAGGAGCCATACCGAAAACATGAGGGGCACGGCTGCAATAAAGATCCAATACAGGGGAGAAATCAGAGCGTGGAGTAAATTATTTAACTCATATTTCAAATTATGACAGTAATGACAACCACTACAAATGGTGGCCAAGACAGAGACATGCCATCCCTCCTACCTATTTTAATTTCCTCCAGTAATCAAAGAGAACAGCACTTGTCTTTGGCATGGAATGCATATGCATTGTTTTCATGTGAGGCTAGAAGTACGTAAGTAGACCGCTGTGGAATACATTGCCGCTCCCAGAACCCAAGGGAACTTGGATGGAAATTAACAACTGGGTTGCACAGTACAGGCTGGCTCATTCTTGTCTCTGGACTTTCTTTGGACAGCAAAGTGTTTGAAAGTTATTGAGTGTTGGCATTGGCCTTCCACAATCAAATCTAGCACACTAAGCAATTGTATTTCACAATGTCTTCAATAACTCCGTAATGCTTTGTCATGCATTATAAGAAGCCATAAATTGAGCAGCTCAATGGGGCTACATTAATGATATTAGGGAGGCATGTAATTTGTTTCATACCTTATACAAATGACAATGAAATCAATATTCAGACAAAGCTGTCCAGGGGTCACATCTCCCAAACTGCAGTATTGATTCAGACTACATCGGAGGTTAATGTGCATATTATTAACTTTAATGGTAAAGAATAATTGTTTTAAACACATTGTGAATTACAGTTAGGGTTGATGTTTACCTCCTCTAGAAAACTATACCACTGAATCTTTCCCGTTAAACTTGAAAAAGTTAATGCATTAGTCAGCAGAGAGGGATACATCACAAATCTCCATGTTCTCCTCCTTCACAAGCCTAAAAGGTGGTAGGAAACTGAAACAATTCGTATTTATTTAAGTTCCTTAGGTTTCAGTATTTCAAAAAGAAAACACCCAGAAGATAGTTAAGATAACAAGCCAGAACTGACACAGCAGGTGAGCCAGGTGATACTACTTTCTCTCCTTTTTTAAACTATCATCAGTCATATTTGCCTAAGACGGTACAATATGATTTGTGCTTATTAATTGTATACAGACACAGGAAAATGCACCGTGGTGTGTAAAGGCCATCTTCCGTAAACAAAGAGAAGGTGTTTACTATAGTCATTTGGTTTCCATACCTGTTGGCATGCACTTTTTCAACGACTCTCCTCACAGATTTATATGGATATCAATCCACTTAAGAAAGGTCAATAATAGGTAACATCAATCACAGAGGTCCTCGATCCAGCCAAAGACAAACGTTTTTCAGAAATAAAAGAACCCCCTGCCCCCCACTCATCATTTCATGCCTCCTCCCCCGTAACTCGAGAACAGTTCAAGACCAAGTTTGAGAAAAGGAAATACTGCGAAATGGTACAAGGGAAGGCCCAAGTATCGTGGTTGACAACTGGAAGTTCCCAGATTAGTACTCCTCTACTAAGGAATACTTTTTTTACCATATAAGAAGGCTATGAAGTTCCCATATGCAAAGCCCTTCACCATCGCCTGTGGGCACTTCTTCCATATGCTAAACCACTCATAACCAAGCTGGGTATCTGAACGGCAACACTCTTCGCTGACGTGCTAAACATATGGTACGCGCAAACGTCGTTTGGATACCAACCCAAATAAGTGAACATGATCCAGAAAGACAAAGCCAGAGCAAGGCACCGGTCCTTGGTGAAACTCATATCCATCTGTCATCTTTTGAGTTCTCATTATTAGAAAGAATAACTGCAATCTGAACTCTCCCTGACAGCCATGGCAACCTGCTGCATTGCAACAGTGTTCAAAATGTGGGGACCATTCCCAATGAGAGCCTTAAGAGAGCACTACAGTATTAAAAGACTCAGGTCTTCTTACATCTCATTGGTCTCTAGGAGGACCAAGAAGGAAATCCAGGAACTTAAAACATATATTCGTCACCGTACTGTTAAAAACTCCTACCTTAGGCACAACACATACTCTAACCAAGGCAGCCTCAGATGAGTTCTGCCTAGCTACTGCAGCTAGCAATTCCAAACAAGACATGTTTTTCCTCATTTTTATAAGAAAAACCCACATATGCTCAGAAAACTACGTGCTGTCCATCTCACAGTTCTAAAAGCACACTTAAACCCCTTTGATTAGACTTGTGCTGCCTCAGCTCAATTACATCATTCCAAATTGTGTTGTCACAAGCATGCCTTCCACTTACATGCTAAATGACAACTGTCATGTACCACCATATATCACCTGTCACATGTCAAGGAATTCTACCCAAATCCCTGTGTCTACTGAGGATCTTCCAACAAGTTCTCTGCTCCGTGTCTTTTGTAGGCCTCCAGCTACTGCTCCAGTGACTCTAGATGTACTTAACTCTACTGATCAGGAGGACATCCATGAACATCTTCTGAATACAGCCCTAAATTAAGCTGACCCACCACCCGCCTAATGCACTTAAACATTAAGAACCGAAACCAGCACTCATGATTGTGAGTAATCCCATGACGATGGGACTAACCACTATCACACCTAGCACTGTCTGAAGGAATTCATGAGACAAGTAGGTCGTAAAACCAGTGAAGTACACCTTCCCACTGACTGAGATCAGACCTGCAGTAAACCTCAATAAGAAGTAAAACAAATCTCATTAAACCATTCTGCTGCTGTAATGTCTCATGCTTTGTGGACTCCACTTACACGGTCCTAAGGGCTCCTGAAATGACAGAAATAAAGTGCTAATTTACACAGTACACATAATAATCTGGAAGGGAAAGCAGCTTCTCTTTTGATGGATCTCCTTCAGCCTTTTTTCCCCCTCTACCCATTACAGACTTGGACTACCTGAGAATGTCCCCTCGAAGGAATTCTACTTTGTAATGTAAGCTACCACTGGAAAAACAAAAATGTATCTTTTGAAGCTTCCTATTTTATTCATCATGCCACACGTTGCATCTAGTTTGAGAGATGCCCTTGTCTGTGCTACGCTGTATTGCATTTAATCTTTAGACAGTCGGTGAGACCAGACCACAAACTAAGATTACTCTACTTAGACCAAAGTATTTTACTTCAGTCAGCACCGTGTCTCTCACATTGCACACTATACACACCTTAATTAAAATGCTAGTTTTTCACTTGTTGCCGTACTTCTCAGAACTACCACATGCCCCTGGATGAACCGTACACCCACCAACTCAAACCGGCCCAACTCTACAACAGTGGTTATGCTGCAAGAGAGGCTAACTGGGACCTGGGGAGGTCTTATTTGTTATTGTTTGCCTTAAAACTCAAACTCCCTCACAGCCCGGAAGTCCTTCACAAAAGCAAGACTTTAGTGAACAGTCAGTCAGTGCTTCACAGAAGTAAGTTTGGAGCTCAGCTTCATCATCTGGAGATCAGAAGGTTGGCCATTGGAACAACTTTTTTCTCCTGCAAGTATACAAAATACACTTTTTCATCATAGAAAAGAAATATAAATAGTGATAATTTTTAATTGCTTCTTAGAAAATCAGAATAACAAAACCTCAGCCTCCCTGCAGTTTTAGATTCTCTGTTTTTTTTCTCAAGTAGCTACAGCACCATAAAGCCTAACAGTTTTGCTGTGTTTTTCCCTTGGAAAAGTTTGGGAAAGGCCCTTTCCATCAGTTCGAAGACCACAGGACTTCCACATCTGTGGATGAGCTGGCTTGCTGTGCTGG